AAGCCCGACCTAATAAAAGAAAGTCAAAATTTTCCCTATTCAAATAGACATTATCTATTTTAATTCAGATGTTTTTTCCCCCTWTTTAAATGAACAATGGACCTACAAGTGAATCAACAACCTTCTCAAATCAAAAAATTTATTCAAATGGACATCACATAGGGTTTTTATTTAGGTTTAACTATAGGTCGGGCCGGGCCGGGCCAGGCCGGGCCGGCCCGTCGGACCACCCAGCCCATGAACAGGTCTACACCAAAGTTGCACCCCTAAGTGAAGATTAGGGCTTGGGCCTTTAGGCCAGGCCCATTTAAATTTTCATAAAAGCCCAACCCGAACCTGCCAAAGTTACACCCCTAGGTGAGGAACTGAGGATTATGATTGTGGATTAAATGGCTTGGGTTGAGTTAGGGATGACATCAACCCAACCTAACCCATCCCAAATTGCACTCCTAATTACTCTCTCCAACACAGATATCTCAAAGAGAATACCCATCCTTCTGCTGTATTAGAGTGAGGACCAAATTTCCGCTGTCCTTAGAAGAAAGTCAGAAATAAGCATTGCATAATTTGATAGGAATCCGTAATCGACCCCATATAATTGGGATAAGGCTTAGGATGAGCTACTCAAGCTTGTAAAATTTAAAAAGAAATTATAAGAAAAAATAACACCAAGCAGAAAAAAATAGCAGTTGACAGCGATCATTTAGGCATTGAAGACCTATTCTAAATTAAGGAAAGCCAAAGATGAAATTCCAACATTTTGTTCAATTTTTCTCCACTCTCTCTAAAGCTCTAGTTCTCTTGGAACTTATGCCCAGACCATTTAGATCTGCAATCTAATTAAACTGCCTTCCACATGACTCTAATACTTCACAGCCCAAAATTCCCAGTGGAACTCAAATTACTTGAGTTTTTTTTTTTTTTAACTTTCGGGAGAAAGCCTGAAATTTCTTAGACTTCAGATCAGAACCTCAATTAAACATAACCAGTTCATCCTAAACACTTCAAAACCCTGCACCATTTAAAAATTTCCAGATAAATTCCTTTTAATTTTCAAACACCAGAAAGTTGCCCAATTGTTTTTTTCAATAAATCCCACTTTAGAGTCTTTTAGGGCTTTTAAACTAGCTTCACTGAAAGTTGCCTTTTAGGGGTTTTCAAACACCAGAAAGTTTCAAACACTTCAAAACTAGCTTCACTGAAAAATTATTTCATAGTTGGGTTTTAGCCTTTTAGGGGTTCTCACCAAATCTAATTTGTAGGCTTTTCGTATAGAGCCTGCCTTGCAAATACAGAAGTCACAGCATGAAAGTCCTCCCAAACAAGCATTCAATCAAAGCTGAGACTTTAGGGGTTTTCACCAAATCT